GGCCCCTTTGGCAAGGCTGTGGAACAACAGGAGCTTTCATATACTGCAAGAAGGAGTATAAATGGGGACAACCTCTTAGAAAATAGTTTGGCATTAATTAGTAAAGCTGAACATACCCTGCATACCCTATAACCAGCTTCTACGTCTGGATTTATATCCTGGAGAAACTGGAAAATACACAAATGTCTCTTAGTGGTAGAATAGATAAATAAATTATAGTACATTCATACAATGGAATATTATAAAGCAATGAGAATGAACAAGCAATTGCTACATGAAGCAATAGGGATGAATTTTACAAACATAATATTGAGCAAAAAAATCCAGACATAAAAGAGTATATATAATGTATGTTTCCTGGTAACAAAAATAGGCAAAACTCATCAGTGGTGGTAAGAATCTGAATAATAGTTACTCCTGATGGTGGGCAGTAACTGGGAGAAGACATAAAAGGAATTTCTGGGGTGATGGTTACCAAGGTCTATTGACTTTGTGTTATACATAATAAAAAGTTTACTTTAAAATACATAGAGTTTGATTCCATTTATATAATGTTCAAAAGCAGGCAAAATTAAGCAAAATATTTTTAGTGATACATATATAAATAGTTCATTATTTTTACAAAACATGGAAAAATAATGATTGCAAGGAGGAAAGGGAAGTGAACAGAGGCACAAAGATATAAAGAGCTTCTAAGATACTGGCATGTTCAATTTCTTAATTTAGGTGCTGGTCATATGGTATTCACCTTTTCAGTATTATTATTTAAGATATACTTATATTCTATGTATTTTCCTGTGTGTATGATATATTCCACAATAACAAAATTAAAGAATACATCAGGCTGGGCGTGGTGGCTCACGCCTGTAATCCTAGCACTCTGGGAGGCCGAGGCAGGTGGATTGCTCAAGGTCAGGAGTTCGAGACCAGCCTGAGCAAGAGCGAGACCCCATCTCTACTAAAAATAGAAAGAAATTATCTGGACAACTAAAAATATATATACAGAAAAAATTAGCTGGGCATGGTGGCGCATGCCTGTAGTCCCAGCTACTCGGGAGGCTGAGGCAGTAGGATTGCTTAAGCCCAGGAGTTTGAGGTTGCTGTGAGCTAGGCTGAAGCCACGGCACTCTTAGCCTGGGCAACAGAGTGAGACTCTGTCTCAAAAAAAAAAAAGAATAAATCAAAACAAATGAACAAAAAACATACACCCTTAAAAGAAAGGGTAGCACAATATAGAGGTCAGGTAATAATTTTAGAGCTGTAAGAGACCTTGGAAGACATCTTGTACAACTATCTCATTAAAGAAACTGAAACAGAGGCCCCGAGAAGTTAAATGACTGCTCAAAGTGATCCAGTCATTACCAAGCCTCATCTAGAGCCCACGTAGGCCTCCGGGCTTCCTGCCAAGTACTCCTCCTGCAGACCCACCCTGATTCAGTCCTAGTTTCCCACTCTCTTCCAGAGTCATATCTCTAAACTGCATACATCATAAAACTCACTTATGTTATAGTATTTTCCCTCCTAAATTTGATGTTTTTGTGGTGGGAAAAAGAGACCAGGAAAGATATCCTCTACTCCACAGATATTCCAAACACTTAGAAAGCCAGTCAAAATATCTAGGAGTAGAGAAATAGACCCAGAACTATTTCTCTACTCCTAGATATTTTGACATGTTAGCTGTAGCTCTCCCACTTCTCTGTACCTCACAATAGGGCCTACTCCAATATGCAGGCTGACTTTTGGTTCTCTGAGTCATGAATGAAAAGGTTACGTACGTTGATAAAAGAAAAAGAAAACTCTCCCACTTCATCTTTGCCCAAGCACAAGGTCTCTTTTGGGAAAAGTGAGCTCTTCTGCCACCTTGTGACATAGGGTGAGAATAGCAAGCCCTGCAGATCCATTCCTGTTCCTGCTCCAAGGTGGCAGCACTGTAACGTACCATCGAAGGACGAATCTACAGAAAATTACAAATAGAGCAAGGCGGGGAAGGGTCTGATACTGGAGGAGAGTAGAGAATCATGTAATCATGTTAAGGAATAGTAAGAAAAATCACAAAACCCAAGGAAGGCAATAGAGCCCCTTTGTTCCGCCCTAACCACCTCCTGTGCTAAGAGAATCAGACAATTATAGCAGAGAAACAGGAACAGGACCAATAAAAATGTGCTCTAAACTAATAAAAATTTGAGACAGTTATGTTTCTTCTAGTCAGTAGCCTCACTGCTCTCTCTCACAACAAAACTTCTTGATAAAGTTATCTATACTTCTTTACCTCCAGTGTCCTCTCAACTCACTCGTACTTACACCCCTTCGCTGGAACTGCTCCTACAAAACTGCCAAATCCAGTGTGTATTCTGTCCTCATTATCCACCATCTCTCAGCATCTGATCAACTGACCACTCTTTCCTGGAAATACTCTCCTCTCCTGGCTCCTGTGACATCCACTCTCCTGGTTTTATTAGCTTAGACCTTACTACCTTAGGGAAGTCTTTGCTGACTGCTCTACTTATTTTTATTTTTATTTTTATTTTGAGACAGAGTCTCATTCTGTTGCCCGGGCTAGAGTGCCGTGGCATCAGCCTAGCTCACAGCCACCTCAAACTCCTGGGCTCAAGCAAACCTACCTTAGCCCTCCCGAGTAGCTGGGACTACAGGCATGCACCACTATGCCTGGCTAAGTTTTTCTATATATATTTTTAGCTGTCCAATTAATTTCTTTCTATTTTTGGTAGAGACGGGGTCTTGCTCTTGCTCAGGCTGGTCTTGAACTCCTGAGCTCAAACAATCCGCCGGCCTCGGCCTCCCAGAGTGCTAGGATTACAGGCGTGAGCCACCGCCTCCGGCCCACAATTTTTTTTTTTTTTTTTTTTGAGACAGAGTCTCATTCTGTTGCCCGGGCTAGAGTGCCGTGGCATCAGCCTAGCTCACAGCCACCTCAAACTCCTGGGCTCAAGCAAACCTACCTTAGCCCTCCCGAGTAGCTGGGACTACAGGCATGCACCACTATGCCCGGCTAATTTTTTCTATATATTTTTAGTTGTCTGATTAATTTCTTTCTATTTTTAGTAGAGATGGGGTCTTGCTCTTGCTCAGGCTGGTTTCAAACTCCTGAGCTCAAACAATCCACCCGCCTCGGCCTCCCAGCGTGCTAGGATTACAGGCGTGAGCCACCGCGCCTGGCCCCGGCCCACAATTTTTAGTTAACTTATTTATTTGTATATTATTATTAGCCCTTGTGTGCTAGTTTATTTTTTGACCATGTTTATTGTCTGCTTTCTATTGTTTCCTGAGAACACAGACTTTGTCCCTTGTCTTATCTTTGTCTTGGTCCTTTGTCTTGCTCACTGCTGGAATAGTGCCTGGTGCAGAGTAGGCACTCATTAAATACTTATTGAATGAAAGAATGAAAGGCATTGGAGCTAGATCCACAGCACTTTCTCTCCTCCTTCCACATTTCAGACAACGTTATCCTTTGGTGACGTCGCTTCCCTTTATGTCTCCCCCCACCCCCAAGACTTCTTTTGGTACTCAAATTTAGCCAGATTTCAAGCTGTAGTCAAGTGTTAGCAAACAAGGTGGTATTTAAATTATGATTTAATTCAAATCTCATAAGCTCCCTCATGGAAAGTCCCTTGAACCAAGCTCCCTTTATATCATTATCAATCATAGTTTCAGGCTTCAGAACTTCTCAGGCATAGCTACACCCAAGTTGGCTCCAATGAAGTACATTTTCAGTGCGTAGAAAGACTGCAGAGGCTCTGGACTTAGTCAAAGATTTGAATAGATCTTCATTTCTTTTTTATGATCCAACTAGCTATCCCATCACAAAGTCTACAGAGTATTACACTAGATGTATACTCTTTTTTTTTTTTTTTTTTTTGAGACAGAGTCTTGCTCTGTTGCCCTGGTACAGTGCAGTGGCATCACTGTAGCTCACTGCAACCTCCAATTCCTGGGCTCAAGCAATCCTCCTGCCTCAGCCTCTAGGTAGCTGGGACTGCAGGCATCAGCCATGATGCCCAACTAATTTTTCTATCTTTTCAGCAGAGACAGGGTCTTGCTGTTGCTCAGGCTGGTCTCCAACTCCTGAGCTTAAGCAATCCTCCCGCCCCAGCCTCCCAGAGTACTAGGATTACAGGCATGAGCCACTGCACCTGGCCCGTGAGATGTATACTCTTTACTAAAAAATACAATTTTGGAAAAATCTTCAACAACAGTTATCGGTCTAGGAAAACATTCTCAAAGTACAGACAGTACCACTCACCTAGCTCTTTCTAACAACCTCTCAGCCCAATAGACATAGGAATGTTGTCTATCCACACTCACTTTACTATTTAGGAATGTGAAAATGTGCAAAACCCTATAGGTATGTCTGTGCTAATGTAAGTTTATGTGTATAACTGTGGATGAATTCTAGTGGTCATCTGGTCAGGACTCAATTTAGAGAAGAGAAAATTGAGATCCTGAGAAATCAAGTAATTTTCCCAGAGTGATACAGTTAATAACAGGTCCTGTACTAGCAGTCACTTCTACCGATTTCTAGTCCTTGTTTCCTGCTTGTTTCTAGAAATTATATTCCTTAATAGAAATCACCACATCTCTTTGTTAGTATGTAAATCTATGTGCCTGTGTCAGGGAGCATGCATGTGAATGTCTACATGTCTACGTGTCTATCCGCAAGTATTTGTAAAGCATATCACTGGGTATTTATGTCTTTCTGCTAGAGAAACCTCCAGATAATTACAGTTCTTTATGTCGGCACCAGCACTGAAGTCAGAAGAAGACCTTCTGAGTCAATCATTAATAAGCACTCTTGGCCCTTTGTCCAATCAGCTCTATTCCTGGGTCTTCAGGAAATGGGGCCAAATAATCAGGATGGAACCAGAGTTTCCCAGGGTCAAACTTGGTTCCAGGGCAGTGAAAGCAACTAGAGATAAGGCTATAAGAGGCTGTGACAGATCAGTAGTGACTTGTCTCTGCAGTGAGCATGTACTCAAGCTGACATGGATACCATCTTGGTCTTCAGCCTAATCATTACATCCTACGATGCCAACAAGAAAGGTAAGTACTTCTCTAGCCTAATGTCCTGGAGAATACAAAGAGAGGCCTGGAAAGCATTGGGGGTCTTTTCCACCAGATAGAGATATAGCTGATATCCCGCAAGCAATACTTTCTGAAAGTACTCCCATGTTATCCTTTCCTGTCTAAGTAGGACTGCAATTTATTCAACCCAGAGAGATTGCTAAAGATAGTGTGAAGATGATGAGACCTCTTCAGAGAATATGATGCATTCTTTTGTCTTGTTCATGTAACTAACATTAAAAGTCCTTATACTGTTAGATGGCTTTCTTTACTACAGGGTACTGTCACAGTTTCAGTTTTGCCATCACCTCAGACTCCCAAATTCACAACCCCTCATAAGATGTTGCCTTTGTTTTTAAGGTAGTACATCCAAATAGTTAGATGGCAATGCTCTTGGGTGGGGACAGCTGAGGGAAAGAGTGATATGGGGGTGGAATGGCACCATTTGCTGCTCTTTGGTAACTATTTATTTAAAACATGATTTTTCAAATTTTCCTAAACATTTCATCTCTAAAATTAGCTAATCAGAGTTAAGGCCAAATACCATAAGGTGCAGCAGTAACAAATTTAACAAATTAAGAAAATTCACAACATCCTGTGAGTCAAGTGCCAAAAAGCAGAAATAACTACGACCTATGGTTCTGCAGAAACCTATAGAGATACCTTGTCCCAAGGTTAGATTAAATAAGCTTTCAAAAGTTTTCTTTAATACAAGAAGGCAGATAGAACAGGAGGGAGAAGAGAAAATAAGCAGTGTTAAAGGTAATGAGTTGGTTAGTCTTTCATTGGCTTTGTAACTTAACTTTATTTCACCTTTCTTTCTTCTAAAGGTAATGGATTGGTACTCAGTATTTGTTATACTAGGCTAACTCCTACATGTATGTATTTGGCTGTGATTTTTAAAGTCTTTTTAGGGAGTGTTTGATCTCCTCAGTTGAACGTTTTATGAGCAGGAACTGCATTCTATTGTATCTTCCCCTCCAGTGCCCAGAATTCTAAAGAGTAAGTACCCAGTAAATTCTGACCTTCACCCCCTACCCCCACCAGACCTCAGAGATAGCGAGTGCCAAGTGGAACAGCTGCCTGGGCTCTTCCCAAAGGATGTGCCAAGCATCAGGGATTTGCAAATGCAAGGTAGGGAATGGGCCCTTTCTGGAAAATCATGTTGCCATTCCAAGAAATTTTTATCTTTAAAAGACACCTTTATCTCCTTGATTCCTAGCCCAGATCTCAAATATCCTATTTTAGAGATATGTATCCCCTCAGGAGGCTTTGTGAAAACCAATTTTTACATTAACTATTACCTAAGGCATGCCTATATAAATCAAACAGATGGAGATAAAGAAGGAGGCAGCACCTAATCTTCTGTGCATTAAAGAAAACAATCTATGAACATTTCTCTGTGCTGAATTTACAGCAGTCACCTATCTTCATGACACCCCTGGCAGGAAGGAAAAAAGGCAGGACTTGCATATTTAGTACCATGAACATATACTGAGGGAAAAGTAAACTAAAAGGAGGAAAAAAATGGAGCAGTGGAATTTAACAGGGGTCAGGAATGGAACTGGGTTAGCTGGGCACCATTCAGATTAAGAATCAGCTTCATTTTTCTGTCTGGCTTTTCTCCTTCTAGAAACTCACACAGAAACCAAAACGGCAACATTCATCCAAAATCAGATTGTGGCTACTCTGCAGTGCCTTGGTTCTGGGAGCAAAGTGAAAGTCAACCTTGTGTATTTGGAGAGAAAGCCAAAAGTTAAGCATATTCTAAAGAACCTGAAAGTCATTGCTGTTCCCCGCAGAAACAACTCTGCCTCCCCAAGCTGTCACCTTACATCCAAGTTTCAGACTGGATCCCTTCTAACAGGCAAAGGTGAGATTGGAAAAGGAGATGGAGGTAGGCACTAACTTTTAGTTGACGTAGTTGAAGGCAGCTGGAGTGTATTAGCAGCTAAAGCTGCAAGGAAATGGATCATCCCTCCCTTGGACAAATCTATGTTCTCTCTGAGAATCAGTTTTCTAATATCTAAGGTCCCTTCTAGCCCTGATATGCTGTGATTTTCATATGATCTCCCTTTTTTTTTTTTTTTTTTTTTTTTAAGACAGAGTCTCACTCTGTTGCCCGGGCTAGAGTGCCGTGGCATCAGCCTAGCTCACAGCAACCTCAAACTCCTGGGCTCAGGTGATCCTCCTGCCTCAGCCTCCCAAGTAGCTGGGACTACAGGCATGTGCCAGCATGCCCAGCTAATTTTTTCTATATATTTTTAGTTGTCTGGCTAATTTCTTTCTATTTTTTAGTGGAGATGGGGTCTCGCTCTTGCTCAGGCTGGTCTCAAACTCTTGAGCTCAAACAATCGCCCGCCTCGGCCTCCCAGAGTGCTAGGAGCCACCGCACCCGGCCTGATCTCCATTTCTGATGGATCTTCTTTTGACAGTTTTTTAAAATTTTCTTTGTTTTGAATGCACACAGCAAAATATTCAAACAGCACAGATTTATAGTGAAAACTAAGTCTCCTTCCTACTCTTGTCTCTCAATCCTCCAGTTCTCTATCCCTGAGAGAACCACTATTACCAACTTACTATATTTCCTTTCAGAGATACGCTAAGCACATACGAAAGTACAAATCTTAAAAACATAAATAATAGCACACCATATACACTGTTCTGCACCTTGCTTTTTCCACTTAGCAACATATCTTATAGGTTGTTCAATATCAATATGTATATATCTGCCTCATTCTTTATCTCTTCTTTTTTTTTCCAACAGGGTCTTACTCTATTACCCAGGCTAGAGTGCAGTGGCGTGATCATAGCTCACTGCAACCTCAAACTCCTGGGCTCAAGAGATCCTCCTGCCTCAGTCTCCCGAGTAGCTAGGACTACAGGTGCACAACACCACAGCTGGCTAATTTTTTTCCATTTTTGGTAGAGATGGGATCTTGTTCTTGCTCAGGCTAGTCTCAAATTCCTGGCCTCAAGCAATCTTCCCTATGTCATTCTTTTTAACAGTTGTGCAGTATTCCATTGTATGGATCTAATTTATCCTACTAGTCCTCTATTGACAGATATTTTGATAGTTTCCAATCTTTTTCAAATACAAACAATGCTGAAAACAATGACTTTATACATTCTTCTTGTACACCTTCAATTTATCAGTAAGATAAATTCTAAGAAGCAGGTCTGCTATGTCGAAGGTTTGATAGACATTGCCAAATTACCCTGCATAGAGGTGTTCCGTCGTGCATTCCTACCCACACTGTGAGAATGCCTGTTCCCCCACAGCTGCTGGGCAGTGCTTCTTGACCTCAGCCTTAAGTTTCCCTGCTTCTGCCTTCCTTTCCTTCTCTCACCCATTCTTTTTGTCAAATAATTTCTGATCAATAGATTGGTATAGGCAGTTCCCCTTTACATATGGGCAATCCCCCAGGTGCTATTGCCATACTGCTGGAAAAATAAAATAACACTTGACACTTTCAGAGAAACTGTGGGTTCACAAGCATAATAATGAGGGAAAAAACTTTAAAAACTAGACTGCAGATTGGGAAATAAGTGGCTAGGCTCTCAGGATGTGGCCCCAATACAGTAAATTATATATTCTCATGTGACCTGAATGTTTCGTTCACTTTATTATACTTTCTAAAATTCCAAAGTAATGATTTCTGTGGGGGGAAAAAAACTCTCAAAAACCCAAAAGCCTCTGGCAAGGTTTTGGGCTTTCAGTCACTCAACACTAATGAAAATTAATTCAATCAAATTGTTTTCCTCTTAAGATATGACACCCTGCTGGACTCAGTGGCAGTTGTGACAGAGAATAGTGGACTTAAGTCATTTTGGAGTCTGGAGCAGTCTGGGCAGAGTGAATATAGTGCTATGCATTATAGGACTTAGGGCAATTAAGGACATTAGCTCTTAGAAATTTGGGACAAGAAAAACTGAGAGGTTAAGGGAGAGAAGAGATGCCAAAGATCATCCTGACCTCATTTAAAAATTTGCCTTTAGCTAGTCTTCCAAGAATAAAGGAAAAAACTCTTTCTCTTTCCTTCATGAAATGGTGGTTGGTTCCCACACCTGGAACTTAAGCTACTACCCTGTACTATTTGAGCCATGCAAAGAGACTAAATGGATGTTTGTGAATTAGTCTGGGGACCTAGTCATCATTCACCATACATGTCTATGAAACCACAATGATGAATTTTAAACAACTGATTTGTAAATGGACTTTTGAGACATAACCCCTTCTATAAGTTTGAAACTGCCTATTCTGAATTTAAACATACATTGAGTACCAGGATGTGACAGACCCCAAATAACTTAGAAACAAAAATCAGGTAAGTGATCAAACTTATGAGGTCATAAATAGATGCCCCCTGAAGTTACCACACTATGGATGAGATAGTCTGCATAGTGTCCCAGAAAACAGTCAGAAGACAGTTCATGAAAATGTCCTCAGAGTAAAGTAGGAATTTAAAGTTGTAAAGATGAAAATGTTCTGCAACACAGACGGTCATCAGAAATGACATGGAGCATAGAAAAAAGTTAGATTAGGATTGTTTATTACTGTTTATGGAATCTGGCCAAGGAAAAGACCCTCTATTATACAAGTATTTTGAAATTTCCTTCTGGTGCAGAAAGATGACTCATTAGGTCTTCTCTCTGTCTCTCTTTTTTTTTAAGAGACAGGGTCTGGCTCTGTCACCCAACTGTGGCACAATCATAGCTCCCTGTAACCTCTAACTCCTGGACTTAAGCAATCCTCCTACCTTAGCCTCCTAAACAGCTAGGACTACAGGCACCCAACACCATGCCCAGCTAATTTTAAAATTTTTTTGTAGAGATAGGGTCTCACTATGTTGCCCAGGCCGGTCTGAACTCCTGGCCTTAAGCAATCCTCCCATCTGTGCCTCCCAAAGTGCTGGGATTACATGTGTAAGCCCAGACACATTAGGTCTTTATCATTTATGATATAGTTTACACCATCTAGATCCTATTGTTCAGATTCTATGTTAATGAAGAAACTTTCCAATTATGCATTAGGTTTCACAGGAACCTATATCTTTAGAACAGGGTACCAGGAAGAGCAAAATGTCCTATCTGATCCATTTGACAGATACAATCCCCTATATAAATTTTTTAAATGTCATTTTAGTATATGGATTAGGTTTTTTGGAATTTGATTAGCATGAACCAATTTCAAAGGTCTGATTATCCCATGTGAAACTGTGGGTATAGGAGAAATAATATCAAACTAGTGTTTCTTCTGATATTAATTATTACTTTTGACAAATTAATTTCTATACAGCTCAGTTTCTACAGCTACAAATGGGAATGAAGTGTTTATATTTACAAACTTGCTCCATCTTGATGCTCAGTTACCTAGCAGACAAGACCTGAAAGAGATGAGTTGCTGACATGGCTGGACATTAATTTAGAAGCTAGGCAGAACTGAAAATACTGTACAATGACAGATGAAGCCTATTTAGTAGACTTTGAAGTAGTGGTTCCTAGGAGGTAGGAAGACATGTCACATTGAAATACCGTTATCCCTGTGGCTAGAGGGCAGAGTTCTTCTAATGTTTCCTTCCTCTTTCAGTCATAATATCATTCCGTTTGCAATGTGTTTTCACATGTGCTCTCTCATTTTTATTTGTTTCCGATCTTCATAATATCCCTGTGAAACAGGTAGGCCACGTATTATTTTATCACAGCCATCTTACAGATAAGGAAACCAAAACTCAGAGAACTTACGTGACTTGTCCAAAGTCAGATTTGTTTATCTTCATCTCATCAGTCTCATAAATATGTATGTTATCGCTTCAGAGAACTGATTGGCACTATGGTGAAAATTACCTTGTTTTTTCTTTTAAACCTGTTGATTTTATGTCTGTCTCTGCCTACCTTTGCCAACACTGTCTTCCTGATTAAACCAAAATCAGGCACTACTTCTTCCCCTATAATTTCACGTACACTGCCTGGTGTTGTCACTGGCCTCTGTAGTAAAGAACTATCATTTTCACATGGACTTAATTAACACATTAACTGCCAGGTGAGTTGTATTTAATTCACGCTAGTTTTGAGCCCAGGGCCTGGTGAAGTAACTCACACATCTCTTCACCTTGGGAGCTGCGTGAATTATTTTTCAAGTCGCATATAACTCATGAACAGAAAACAATTAAAAAGCCACAAATTTTTCATAAATTAGAAAGGATCGTTTTGTTTTCAAAGTTTTTATTCTATTTTTGTAATAAAATACCGAGGCCGAAGGAAAAACTTTCTTTTCTAGTGTGGCAGTCAATGTGTTAAGACATGGAAGAGTAATTTAGAAAAGTCACTGGGCATGGTGGCTCATGCCTGTAATCCTAACACTTTGGGAGGCTGAGGTGGGAGGACTGCCAGGAGTTTGAGACCAGCCTGAGCAACAAAGTGAGACCCTGTCTCTACAAAAAAATTTTTAAAAAATTAGCTAGGCATGGTGTCACACACCTGTAGTCCCAGCTACTGGGAAGGCTGAGGCAATGGGATCACTTGAGCCCAAGAGTTCAAGGATGCAGTGAGCTATGATCACACTACTGCACTCCAGCCTGCGCGACAGAATAAGAGTCTGTCAAAAGAAAGAAAGGAAAGAAGGAACGGAAGGAAGGAAGGGAAGAAAGGAAAGAAAAGAAAGAAAGGGTCAAGTAGAACTTACAGACCTTAATTTAATAAGCAGTGATGTGAAACCATTAAATATGGACCATGAACCACTGTCTGAATTGGATGAGGTCAACTGTGGAGGTGAGTGAAGTTAGTTCCAGACTACAGCCAGAATCCATCTACTTCTCATCATTTCCGCTGCTGATGTGTATCACATCATTTCTCATCTGGATTTCTGCAATAGCGTCCTAACAGGTTATCCCGTTTCTACCTTTGCCCACCACTAGCCCATTCCCAACACAGCAGCCCAGTAATTCTTTAGAAATAAAGCTATATCCTGTCACTCCTCTGCTCAAAACCTTGCAACGGATCCCCATTCCAATCACAATAAAAACCAAATTCCTTGAACTGGCCTACAAGGCCTTAAATGATATGGGACTGTTTCCTCTAGATTCTCATCTCCTATAATTGTTTCCCTTGCTCACTCCACTTCAGTCTCACTGGTTTCCTTGCTACTTCTCTAAAACTGTCACATGCCAGACACATACTGCCCCAGGGCCTTTACCCTCTGCCTAGGTCACTACTTCCCCAGGCATCTGCTTGGCTAATCCCCTCACCTCCTTCAAATCTTGGCTCAATTCTCACTTTCTCAATAAGACTGAGCCTATACTGCAGGTTGCTCATCCACATCCCTCAGACTACTCCCTTACTTAGCTCTATTTTTAATTTTTTTAGCAGTATTTATCCCCTTCTAATATACCATGAAATTTATTATATTTATTGTTGTCCACTTCCCCCACCCACCCCCAGCCCTCCCTCCTCTTTGCCTGCTCCCTTGCTAGAATGTATCTAACCGATACATACAAAATACTAAAGCAGTGCCTGGCACATAATAGGTCTTGCTCTGTTGCCCAGAGTGGAGTGCAGTGGTGTCATCATAGCTCACTGTAGCCTCGAACTCCTGGGCTCAAGTGATTCTCCTGCCTTAGCCTCCCCAGTCACTGGGACTATAGGCGTGCACCACCACACCCATCTAATTTTTTAATTTTTTTTGTGTGGGGGGGTCTTTGTTGGTCTATGTTGCCCAGGCTAGTCTTGAACTCCTGGCCTCAAGCATCCTCCTGCCTCAGCATTCCAAGGTGCTGGGATTGCAGGTGTGAGCCACTGCGCCCAGCTTAGATATTCTTCTTCTTTTTTTTTTGAGGCAAAGTCTCGCTGTGTCACCCCAGCTAGGGTATAGTGGCATTATCATAGCTCACTGCGATCTCAAACTCCTGGGCTCAAGCAATCCTCCTGCCTCAGTCTCCCGAGTAGCTGGAACTACAGGTATGCACCACCACACCCGGCTGATTTTTTCTGTTTTTGGTAGAGGCAAGGTCTTGCTCTTGCTCAGGCTTAGATATTCATTTTTAAACATTTGCAGAATGAATGAAATTGAGGATTGCATGAAGCTGGATAGACTTTCCTTCTTTCAACTCTTCCTGCTTTCCCTAATCCCCTCTCAGAGTAGTTTACTTAGACTCCACTAGACTGACTTCCAGCAGTCATTAAGGCAAATTATATTTCACATTCTTCCTCGGACTTTGAAGCCACCTTTTTTAAAAGAAGGAAATACTCAGTGATGTTACGCCCTCCATCTTTATTGCTATTATGGCCTTAAGAAGGATAGGCAAACAAGATACAGTCTACTCCTTCACTCTGATCCTACGTCAGGCAAAAGTTCCATAAGGATGTAATCCATATCTCTTATTAGTATCTCTATCCTCATTTATTCTTGGCATGATTTTGTGCCCACACCCTAAACCTATGGACAGACAGGTCAATGGAGCCACAATTAGAAGTTTAATATCAACTGGGTAGAGACAGGGTTCAGTCAGGTAAAGTAAGACAGGATAACATTTCTCCTAAAGCTGCACTCTCATTGTTTCTTTCTTGTTTTATAGCTTTTTTACCGGGGATCTCCCAATGTAAGGTCTATCCAGTGATGGGGGCTTCGTCAGAGACTTTTTCCACCTCTACCAATTCCGTTACTCCTGGGAATACAGAAGGAGAGAAAACTACAAGTATTGGTAATTTTTCTAGCCCTTTGAAAGAACAAGGTACAGAACAAATAGGAGTAAAACAAGACCAGAAAGAAAAAGAAACATCTTTAGCCCCAACATTAGTCTGGGTCTCCTAGGATTTTCCTGGCGGTTACACAGTTCACATTAGAAAACCGTTCCATTTCTTATGGAAAAAGTCAGCTTCTCTATAAAGAAGGTCCCAGAAACATTTACAGTTTGACAACATCAATTAATCCTTTACGTCCATGCAAATGAGCTCATCCCATAACCAGATTTGGGGACAGAATAAATCATATTCATGTGGTGGGTAATTCTAGTCATTGCATTACAGATGGACAATATTTCAATACAATTGTATTTCAACAGCGATTGTAATAGTAGTGACACCAACAAAGTGCATGTTTCCATTTTCATTGTTTTTAGAAATAGTCCTCCCTAAATTGACCAGGACTCAAATTCTGCAAGATTCTAGTTTGGGTTACATCTCAGCTATTACCAGGGGAAAAGTAAATATGAGATTAGTAATAACAAGATGCATATGAGCTACTTGCCACCAGATTTGGCTTATGACCCAGAAGCAATGCCAATTCACATTTGCTGCTCCTATCCTCCACTAAAGCCAAGGGAAGCATAGGAAAGGTTATTTTCGAATCCCACAAAATCTGTCAGAGTAGAAAGGTAGGAACCCCCAAGAAGGCTGATAGTGAAAAATACATTTAAACTCCTCGTATACCCAAGCCTTTTCTTCCCCTGAGAGCAGTGCAAGAATCAGCCCTACATGGTTATGAAACATTCCCAATTCCAGGGAAGGTGACTCATTGGGAACAGGCTGCAAAAGAGGTTAGAGCAGATCCTATGATGCCCACCCCACTTCTGATTCTGAGTTTGAATTGGAAATTCAGCCTCTGCCTCTGAGTCAGGCTGGGCCCCTATTAGTCTTGTGAGACAGGAGAACTTCAAGTCAAAGGGTCAATCTCTTCCCTCTCTTAAATTCTCTTTTCTCCCTCTTCTACTCCTCTCTCTCCTTTAGACACAGACGAGAACCTAGAAAAGAGGAAGAAATGGAGTATTGTGGTCAAATTTCTGATTGCTGTCATCTTGTTGCTGAGTGCAGTCGCCATTATAGTATTTGTAATCTTTGAAGTCCCATGTCCTGTAAGTTTGCTGATGTTTTGGGTCCTTGACCTTGATCTATAAAGACTTCCTTCTGTTGCAGAGGCAGCTTGGCATAATGAGAAAAGTACAGACTTTGGAGTTTGAACAGATCTGCCACTCATACTCACTAGCTGAGTGGTTGTGGAAAAGTTGCTGGAATTTTCCAATTTTAGTTGCCTTATCTGTAAAATAGGTGTCATGATATTCACTTCTTATGGTAATTGTGAAGGTTGGGATACTGTGTAAAAGGTGCCTGGCACATAGGAGGTGCTCATTAAATGCAAGTTCCTTTCCTCTGCTATACTTGACATTCCTAGGAAGGATAGAACCAATAGGCCTGAATATTTTCTTTAGAATAGATGATTTCTTTTAAATTGCCTGACATGAGGTTTGGAAGATAACCAAATGCTTACCAGCCACTTGAAGTTAATACTAGTCATTTTCTCTCTTCAGTGTCAATGCCTAGGAGCCAGGAAGCTGTGCCAATGCCAATGGTGGCGCAGAAGGCAAAGGAAAGGAGGCCAGAAACCTGGGACAGCTGAATCCCAGCATGACTCTCAGCCTGAGAAGGAAAGTGTTCTCTATGTGGTTTATGTCATTTGCTTAGAGACAAGGGGGTTAACATATAAGTGCTGGAAGATAGGGAGCTGCTTCAGTTATGAAGCAAATGTGAATAATTCTTTTACGTGTCAGGAAATGGGTAGGAATTTATACTTATATTTTCTTAACATCAGCCCAGCCATAACACAATAAGATGCTTATTGAATATACATATCTCTGGGCCCCAAATATACTGAATCAGAATGTTTAGAGTGAAGCCAGTATTCTTATTTTTAAGATTTTTTTAACAAGCTCCCTAAGTAGAGCTGGATTTATGGTGAAATCAATGAAGCTTAAGCTTCAGGACCTGCGGGCCCTTTCAAAGACCTTTTATCCAATTTTGTATTTTTAAAATTTGTATTATTTTTCTTTAAAAAGTTCCCCCAAATTGCAAGAGCTTCAGAATCCACAACAGATGTATCCATCCCTGTCCCTAAGTAACTCTTATATACAACAAAGTTTAGGAACCACCACACTTGAACACAATTTGAAGACTTGACAAAGTAGTCTATGGCCATACCACCCTTAATGCACCTGATCTTGGAAGTTAAGCAGGCCTGGGCCTGGTTAGTACTTGCATGGGAGACCACTTGGGAGTACTAGATGCTATAGACTTCAAGGGGAAAAAAAAAGGCTTGGCAAAGCAACCTCCTTCCCTCGCCTTGGGTTTCCTGACAAGATTATAAATTAATAGTGCCCTTTGGTGTCTGAAATTGACACTACACCATTGGCTCAGCATGGCTGCTTTAAATCCAGTTTCCCCAGCAGGAGTGGAGTTGGCTTTTGAATATCACAAATTGATGGGCATTTTCCCTAAAATATCTACAATACTCACTAAGGCAAAGAGTCTAGGTTTCTAATATTTTTAAAATTAAACAAGGTGTCCACTTTTGTAGAATTATAGCACTGAGAATGGGTCTCAAAGATTATCTATCTAGTCCAGGATGGTACACATGCTGCTACTCTTGAATTCTCTGTCAAATGTACATATCAATAGTCAAGCCCAACACCCTTTCCACCCAGGCCTGGCGTCGGAATTTTTCTTATCACAGCTTCAGGCATCCACTGCCAACTTATTTGTTTTCTCTGTTCTAGGTTAATATTCTCTATAATCCTATTTATTCTAATATTGGATAATGACCCCATATAAATTAGCATGATTTTATTTTATTTTATGTTATTTTAAAAAACTTACAATGGCATTCTTTTTTATTTTATTATTTATTATTATTATTATTATTTTGAGACAGAGTCTCGCTCTGTCACCTGGGCTAGAGTGCCGTGGCATCAGCCTGACTCACAGCAACCTCAAACTCCTGGGCTCAAGCAATTCTCCTGCCTCAGCCTCCCGAGTAGCTGGGTTTACAGGCCGACGACACCATGCCTGGCTAATTTTTCTATTTTTAGTAGAGACAGGGTCTCCCTCCCACTTAGGCTGGTCTCGAAATCCTGACCTCAAGCTATCCTCCCGCCTCGGCCTCCCAGAGTGCTAGGATTACAGGCATGAGCCACTGCTCCCAACCAAATTAGTATGATTTCATCACAGGTGTATTTTTAATTCTTTACTCCAATCAACAGTATATTTCTATACAACATTAGAAGAAATAGGCCTGAAGGGGACTAAAAAGTCTAGTCCAGAATTAGTTACCCACGTAGCAGCAACTCTGAATGGACTTGTACGAACACAACAGGCTACTAAATGACAGAAGAGGCAGGGCATGGTGGCTCATGCCTGTAATCCTAGCACTTTGGGAGGCCGAGGTGGGCAGATTGTTTGAGCTCCGGAGTTCGAGACCAGCCTGAGCAAGAGTGAGACCCCGTCTCTACTAAAAATAGAAAGAAATTAATTGGACAATTAAAAATATATAGAAAAAATTAGCTGGGCATGGTGGCACATGCCTGTAGTCCCAGCTACTCGGGAGGCTGAGGCAGTAGGATTGCTTGAGCCCAGGAGTTTGAGGTTGCTGTGAGCTAGGATGATGCCACGGCACTCTAGCCTGGGCAACACAGTGAGGCTCTGTCAAAAAAAAAAAAAAAAATGACAGAAGAATTAATAAAAATAGTAATAAGGTAGCAATTTTATACACATTACATCATTTGGGCCTCACAAAAACCCTGTAAGGTAGCCAGGGCAGGTATTTACATATTACTGATACTTAATTAGAGGCTTAGAAAGGTTATGTGACTTTTCCAAGGTCATATATCTGGTAGAAACAGAACTAGAATCCAAGACTTTTGTTATAATTCCTATAGTGAATTAAAAGAATATCACCAGCTCATTCATCTATTCCACAAAATTTTACTAAAAGCTATATGCTAAGTTCCCGTCTTCAAGAGGCTTATAGTCTAGTTGGGAAAAAAACTCATTGACCACAAAAATGTAATTATGTTCCTAACAGTTAATTATTTAGAAAGTACATACAAAATTAGATGGGGCACACAGCAAAGTATAGGGAGGGTGGAATGGGATTATCAAAAATATTCAGTTCACATAGACCCAGATCTCTCTTTTCAAAATGTAGTAAGATTGTGTGGGACTAATTCAAAGAAAGCAGAATCCCTGTGTGTCTGAGATCCAAACCAGCTGCATACTCAGGGCCTTTTTCATTCAAAGCAAAAAGGTCAAGCAAAGGGCAAATGGGTACTTTACTAGTAATAGGTTATAGGTTCCAACCAATTGTAGGTTCTCACACATATATGCGCCTTGCTTGCACTTTCACAGTATAACTATTGAGTAACAAAGGCAAAGTTAAGTATACTTCGAATTACATGAGTATTTTCCAAGAGCAGATGAGATCGGGTGCATTCAGGGTGGTATGGCTGTAGACAATATAGCTATTTTTACTTAGCTATCCCTTTGTTGGCACATGAAAAAATATCCATTTGCATCCTTCTTTATCATTCATATTTCCTTTCACTCTCTAGGTTGGACAAGATGCTCCCAACTCATCAAACCCAAAGAAAACTGCAGGGATCACTGTTATCCACCAGACATACTTCTAAAAAGTTTTGCTCTGCCTCACACATCGAATGAATGATACTACACTGTCTTCTCCTATCAACATGAGCAGATTTTTGCCAATTTCACACTTGTATCTTCAGTGGGGACATTATAATCAAACAGGAATTCCAGGTCCATGAAGGGAGAACCTGGGCTAACCCTCATGCCACTGCTACTGACTTAGCCGCAAGCCTCTGCGATTCACTTTGTATATTTAAAAAATGGATATCTTTCTGTCCCATCAGATGAAAACAAAAAACCTTCCCTCCAAACACTATGAATGGATCTTATTGCTCTCTTTGACAAAAGACTTAAACACAGCCGCCAAGGAACAAGGGCAGCTGTTACTGTGACGCAGCTCTCAACTCCTGTTATCCTCACAGCTGACTTCACGCTCACTGGCTCTCAACTAGCTTATGATGGGGTTCCTGCTCTCCCTCACTGACATTCATAAGGTTCTATGACTTAGCTTCTGCCACTACATGTAGCTATCAACACCGTGGTGAAAGGAACTTGACCCTAAGCATTCTAAGAGCCCCCTCATAAGTCATCCCCAAACGGTTTAGAAACTGCAGACAAATAGTACCCAAATGAAGCCTCCTAACAATCCAGAATTCCTAAAGTGAGTCTGGTATTATATCCTACTTTAATAGGGAGCTGCATACATTTGACCTCCTAGAAGAAAGTAACTTTTATATCAAAGTTGCTATCAGTTACTAGGGAGAAGCAAACCAATGAGGGGCCATATTTTAATTGTTGCTAACACTTGTTTTTTGAATTCATCTCTTTGGACCTATATTATTTTCTAGACTTATATTATTATATTATTTTTTCTCATATTTCATTATCTCTTCCTCTTTGTCTTCCTCATTATTCCAGCCAGCACTTTTCTTTTTTCTTTCCATCTTTTTCTTTCCCTATTCAATGACCTCATTTGTCAGTCATCAAATTCTAACAATTTTCCTTCATCTGAGTTACCAGTGAACTTGGATCCATGTCTATACTGAAATTTCAGGTCCAAAAAGTCTTTCCTTCTACCTAACCCTCCTTCCCTTGGTGCAGTGTAGCAACAGGTGTGCCTTGGACTGTAATTTAGGAACTTTCATTGGACTCTTGTGAATTTGCACCATCCAGTGGCTGAAGTTGCTAACTGCGTTCTCTGAAAAAAGGCAAAGGGCATAAACAAATGTAAATTAGATTAACAAATCATGACAAACGTGAAGCTTGTGTTGCTGCCCCAAAGAGAACAATCATTCATAACAGCCAAATTGTGTCCTATTTTAAGTCTTATTTACTAAAATTTAATATTGGATGGAGAACGGTATATTTAGAGGTTTGGTGTTATGGTCTCTGCAGAATAAGATGATGCCCAGAAGATTCTCCAAGGATTAAGTCAGGTCACTACTTCTCCCTAATGTACTGGAAAAAAAGAATAAACAGTGTAGGCGATAGGGTAAAGTCCTTATAGCCTCTAGAAGACTCAAACATTCTACAGAAGAGACACTGAATTTGAAGACTGATAAAGTATATATATGAGATAATATCAGACAGCAGTTTATTTCTTTTACAGTGAATATACTTGGACATGTCTATGTCTAGGACATATGCCAAAGAGTAGAATTCGTGAATTACAGGATACACGTATCTTCCACTTTGCTAGATTGCACATGGCTCTCTGAAGCAGTTGTACCAAATAGAGTACTACCAGCAGTAAAGAGAATCCCCATATTCCACACCCTCCCCAAGTCGGAAATCTCAGACTTTAAAATTTTTGCCAATCTGATGGCTATGAAGTACTATGTCATTGTTCTTATGTACATTTCTTGACTAATAGTAAAGTTGAGCACCTTTGCATATATTTATTTGCTATTAGGTTTTCTCTTGCTTGCTCATAACCTCTCCCTATTTTTCTACTGGGTTGTTGGTCTTTTTTTTTTTTTATGTTGAACTATTTATTATAAAGGCTATTACCTGTTAGTCTTTTTTATTGAGTTGTAGAATTCCTGTAATCCTGGATATACTCCTGGACACTAATCCTTTGTCCATGAAACATCTTACAATCCAAAGTGTATTTCTAATACAAGATTCCTCAACAAATGGATTTACACATAAATAAACAACTGTAAGGCTCTGAGGTTCTGGGAGTCCCATTTGGCTCCAAGAATTTGTTTTCATTTTGCCTTCTATGGCTGCATTTAAAAAGCTGTTGATAGGCTGGGCGTGGTGACTCACGCCTGCCTGTAATCCTAGCACTTTGGGAGGCTGAGGCAGGAGGACAGCTTGAGCTCAGGGGTTTGAGAACAGCCTGAGCAAGAGTGAGATCCCCATCTTTAAAATAAATAAATAAATAAACAAATAAATAAAAAGCCATTGATGCTTATGCCTAAAAGTCCTACAAAACCACATATATTTCTCAGAAAGACTTCAAGGTCTCCCATCTTGAAGGACTCTGCTTTGCTGATTCAGACACATAAATGACAAAATAAGGTAATTGGGTCCTCAGCATATTCCAATCCTGTTCTTCATGGTAGCAAGAGAAAAAAAGCAGCTCTCAAGAAGGTACTAGTGTCTGTCATTGTCTTATTCTGAAATTAAACAAGCTAAGTGAGGCACAGGTTCAATTTCAGAATGACTTATTTAGATTTTATTTTCCTCAACATCTATGATGAATCCATAGTGTTGAAAAGAATTGCAAAATGCAGTAATATCTACACTCCCGGGCCTTTTACCCGCTAAAAAGCTTTGAGCTTGCCACAGTAAGCCATGAAGTACCTTTGCCCAACATTTGTGTCTTAGCGCAACAAAGATAAACTTCAGCAAAACAAGACAGTTGGTGTGCCGGAGCGATATTGCAATTAGGGAGGTCTGATGTCTGGCCTCCTCTTCACCCTGCTGTGGTATTACTTTTTACTCCTGTAATTCCCTCCCTCCTATCTAGAAAGCAAAGATTCTGATTCACATATCCATGCTTTCAGTGAAATCCTTTCACTCCAATGTACTCATTCTTCCTGGTGGATTAATTGTAAGCCTTTTGTCTCTAACTACAGATAATAATAATAAACAACATTTGATGCACATTTGCTATGTAAGAATAAAAGTCTTTGCCTTCTGCCAAAGTCATGTCAGGAAAGCAAGTAGGTTTAGGGAGCGTATCATTGGCCTGAACTACAACAGCTTCTGAATCTGTCTCCCCATACACTTTCTTGCTTCCCTTTAATCTGCACACAGTTCTCCTCGCTGTAACCAGAGTGAGCTTTTCAAAATGCAAATTTGATCTTATTACTCTTCTGCCAAAAACCATTTGGTGACTTTCCACTGCTATCAGAATAAAGTCCAAAATCCTCAAGAAGACTACCAAGGCCCTAAATAATCTGCCTGCCTCCCTTCAGTCTCCATCACCCCTTCCCCTTCTCTAGCTTCAGCTGCAGTGGACTCGCATCCTTTCCTGGCTCAGGGCCTGTGCTGTTCTGTCTGCCTAGAACACTGATTTGGCTTCCTCATCCCACGTTCCCCTTCCTTCATTACTATTATCCTGTTTAACTTTCCAGTCTTCTTTCAGATATTGGCTCAATAGTCACCTCCTCAATCTGATGTCCCAAACCCCATTAGAGTCCTCTATACTTTTATTGCATAAATTTCTTTCATGGTCTTCATCTGCTTGCAATTATGTATTTCTGTAGTATTTGATCCATGCCTATCTCTCACACAGAGGTAAGCTGCATTGAGAGCTAGTACCAGTCTGTTTTACTTACATTGAATCCCTAGGCCCAGGGCTGTGTCTCACGCTCATAGGAACTTAGTAAATAACTGCCCTTAATGAAAGAAGCAGCAGATGCGAATTAGGTTCGTCCTCTTCTCAGAACCTCTTCAAGGTTCCCAGATACCATTAATTTGGAAGCAATTTTCTCTGTGCCTTTTCTTCTTTTACCATAAGTCGCCAGGTTATTCTGTCTGGCCTTCATCTCACTTAACCTTCTGAAGTAGCTACAATTATTATTTGCATTTTATAGCAGAGGAAATTGAGGACCAGAGACTTGTCCAAGGTCACAGAGCTAGTGAGTGACAAAGCTAGGATTCCAACATAGATATCTGACCTCAAAATCTTTATGCTCTTAACCATGTAGGGGGGACGGGGAGGGGATGGGTATATTCACACCTAATGGGTACGACGCACACCGTCTGAGGGACTGGACACGCTTGAAGCTCTGACTCAGGTTGGGCAAAGGAATATATGTAACCTAAACATTTGTACCCCCCTAATATGCTGAAATCAAAAGAAAACACTACACATAAGCTTTACTTATATCTTTCATTGACATTTCTATTGAGTGGTTGGTCTCTTATCTATTTCTAGCAGCTCTTTATGTTAGAGGATTAGGCCTTTGTGGTATGAGTTGGAAACATTTTTTCCATTTGTTTTTTGCTCTGCAGAAATTTATTCTGTACCTAGATTATCAACACCCCCTTTTATGCTTTCTGTATTTTTTGAGACAGAGTTTCACTCTGTCACCCCAGCTAGAGTGCAGTGGTGTCTTCATAGCTCACTGCAACCTCAAACTCCTGGGTTCAAGTGATCCTCTTGCCTCAGCCTCCTGAGTAGCTGGGACTACAGGTGTGCACCATCATAGCTGGCTAATTTTTCTATTTTTTGTAGAGATGGAGTCTCACTCTTGCTCAGGCTGGTCTTGAACTCCTGCACTCAAGCAATCCTCCCACCTTGGCCTCTCAGAGCCCTAAGATTACAGCACCCAGCCCACAGTGGGTCTGAATAATGCTCTGCTAACTACTTTCTATTAATACCTCCCACCTTTACTGCCACTTCTCTCTCCATTCTGGATTATGGGCTCTTCTGTGTCTTGCCTATTGTCATCCAAGTTTCTATTCTTTACCCTTCTTTTATCTTACGCTATGCAATGAGCTCAGGTAATCTTGTCTTCTCCTGTGGCTTCAAATTTTCCATCAATCTGCTGCTAACTCCCTAGATGACCTAGACATCTCCCTT